AAAAAAAAAAATTTTTTTTTTTTGCTGGAGTGGGGCTGTTAGTATGTTAGCTGCAGCGCAGTGCGTTTTTGACGCGTTTTGCGTTTCCTGACCTGACAAAATGTGACATGCAGTATTTTTTCTGTCGTAAGCTGAACGGACTGCGCACGTGAGAACTGTAGCCCATAAAACACATAGGGATGCATTTTGAGTGCAGCAGCGTACGGAGCCGGTCAGCACACAAAACGGACGTCGTGTGAACAGGCCCTAAAGAGCCTCCTCTGTCCTGCACTCATTACCTGTAGCAATGGCACCTGTTTGAACTTGTTATCAGTATAAAAGACACCTGTCCACAACCTCATACAGTCACACTCCAAACTCCACTATGGTGAAGACCAAAGAGCTGTCGAAGGACACCAGAAACATATGACATTCTTAAACACTTTCTGCCCTACGGAGACAATGCTGCTCCTCCACAGATACTGTATAGTGAGTTAGTGTTGTCATCTTAAGGCAGGAAATGTTATTGGCGCAATTGCTAAGTGGAAATAAACTGAACTATTGCAGCCATCACATTTAAGGACTGATATGCTGCAATATATTACATTTTTGTTCTTGGGGCTAGACATTCTTTAATACACTGCTAGATGGACCTTTGACCACACCCTCCATGTATGCTCTGCACTAAATTACATGTCCAGTAGAGTAACAAGAAGGGCCATGCATATTTGTTATTGTATACAAATGTATTAGACCTAGAAAAGAAGTTGGAGAAAAAGGTGACCTAGTCTACTATTGTGTAAAGGAGACATTTGGAACAAAGGAACAAGTCAGCAGAAAGAAATTACCTCTACCCCAATCCCAGTGTCTGCAGGAAATAAAACGCGTTCAAAAAATAGAAGAGGCCTAAGGAAGTTTTAGAAAACAAGAGTAGGAAAAGGGAGGGCTCTATAGCCGGCGGATCGCTTGTATGTTAACGAGCATCGCTGCCTGTTTTTAAATATCGGGCACTTCCCGCTCGCGTGGGTAGTTAATATTAAACATAACCCTTTATTATTGTATATGGTATGACGACTGGCGGATGCCGATACCGAGCCACCGATGTTTTTCTTTTCCTTTATCTTTTTGTCTCCCAATGTTATATTTTATACTACTTGAGTTTTGATACGAACTGATACTGAATCCTATTCAAATTGCTAATAAAAACTGATTCAACGCTAATTATTGTATATGATCTCTCCAAACGATATGTTACAATCTGATTGTACAACCTACATTTATTTAGTTGATAATACATCTAAGACCGGTTTTATTCTAAATGTAAATATGATTTGTTTTGTTACACAGCCCAGATGACCGTTGGCAGATGGACAAGCGGAATGAGTGCAGATCATGAAGATGTTCCTGTCATACCTAAAGCCCAGAAGGTGCCCACAAAGACCCCCAAAGTTATCAAGTTTTGACTGTTCCTCCATTGAAGGGAAATAAACAAAATCTTCTATCCAACGGGACTGAACACACCAGAATCTGTGTATCATAAAAGACTACTTAGGTGGCTCTGGGCTGTATTCACACTTTTGTGTCTGAAAATCCACTGATCATGCAGCAGCATTCACTTTCCATAGTGAGTGTTTGTTCACTTTCATCATCCAATCGTGCAAGCAACGTGAAGTGTTGTACCTTGCTAATCATAGACAGCAGTAGGAAATGAAAATATCTGGGTGATTCTTCTTGTTGTCTTAACAGGGTTTTTGTTTTCCTCCATGGAACCATGCTTTTAAAACTCTTTTGGAAAGCTTGCATCTAAAATATATATTCAGTTAGCCAGCAAAATGTATCGCCTACATGTTTACTTTCCGGCTTTGGCACGTTTATTTACTAAGCTTATTGAACATTCACTGTGCAAAGTGAACAACGTCTACTCCTTTAGTAAATCATCCCCACAGTTTCTTTATGTAGTGATGTGATCCACACCAATTGGCTTACGTGAATAATACTCAAGGTAAATCTTTTCTGAGCAAGATGGGAACTGAAGAAGTGTGATTGGACCCTTACACACATTACTAACTCTTGATGTCAGTATCACACAACATACTCTACTTTTACATCTGCACCAACTTATGGAACAATGCAGATACATTCCGGTTATATTTCAAGTGCCTTGTCTCTCTGGAATACTGGTATTGGTGGAGCTGCAGGACTCATCACCATCAGCCTTTTAACAAAGAACTCGAGAAAAAAAAACTATTAAGCGCTGCGGTGGATCTACCCCCGCCCTGCAAGGGTTAACTGCTTATTTTTGTCTAGGTTACAAAATAAAAACTCACCCGATGCTCTGAGCCGGCTTGTTCTTAGAGCGGTCCCTGGAGTTTCTCTCCCCCTCCTCTACAGTGGTCCAAGATCCTGTAAATCAGGGCTCAAAATTTCAGGTCCTGACTACTAGCCAGGTCTTAAAAGTTACTCTCCACCAGGTGCTCTGCCTGAACCTTCCCCATCCGCCTCCCCTCCTTTGACATCGCCTCTCCCGCCTTAAATTCCACCATTTAAAAAACGAAAAAAGGAGATAAAAATAAACCCAACAGACAAGCAAGCCCTCCTCACACTCAATATGGTGTGAATTCCACCCAAATTCATAAACCCTATACAGATGTTCCTCACTTACCGACTTACCTGTTTTGCGACCACTCGCACTTACGACGGAGCGCCGATCGACCTCCGACCTTGCGCGTCAGCGTCAGTGCGCCGTGTCGCCGGCGGAAGTGGTGTCCTCCGATCTTCATTGCGGGTCCTGGTAAGTATTTTCATTGCCCGATGTACAGTACACTGTTCGTTACTGTACATCTGCAACGCTATACAGTACTGTACTAATGCAGTACAGTACTGTATAGAGTTCCTCACTTAACGACCAATCCGTTTAACGACCTGGTCGTAGGAACGGAACTCGGTCGTTAAGTGAGGAATACCTGTACTTAAGTACAGGGCTCCATCAACTCCGTTGTATTTCACTTCATAACATATACAGCACAACACACAACATATCACACAAACCACAGGGCATAAGACAGACAGCGCAACGCACAGGGCATACTATACACACACACAGACAGTGCAACGCATAGGGCATAACACATAGACACGCACAGGGCATAATACACACGCACACATCGCAACACACAGGGCATAATACACACACAGAGCGCAAAGCACAGAAAATATTACATACACATCACAATGCACAGGGCATAATACATACACATAGGACATAACACAAACACTCAGCACAACACACAGTGCACTGGGCATTATACACACACAGCATTACACAGACTGCATAACATACACACAGGGCACCCAGACCAATCTCTATGCCCCCCATCTAATTACTTGCTGGCACTGCATAAGTAGCTCCCCCCTAGCCCACGATCAGTTAGTCCTCACTTGTGCTTCCCCTGTGCATTTCCCTGTTAAAGATGGCCACGTTGCGGTGGCCATCTTTAGTAAGGTTTACAATGTGGCAGCCATCTTTAATAAGGTTCATAATGCGGCGGCCATCTTTAACATGGGCAAGCCACACGGGAAGCCGCCACAAACTCATCCAGTAGTCGGGCACTTAGTCTTTGACCGTGAATTAATTTCCACCCGCCTCCATGCAATTTTCACTCGCCAATTGCTAGGGGGTGAGTGGAAATTTTGAGCACTGCTGTAAATCATCACATCTGTACACAGTGTATAGATGGGATGATGCTGGGGAAGATTCCAACTCTTCAGGAAGGGGAAGACAGGCTGGAGGGAGCGCTGTAACAGCTGGCCGGCTCGGAGCTTCGTGTGAGTATATCTTTTGATATATCAGGGGTCTCAAACCTCCGGCCCTCCAGCTGTGGTGAAACTACAAATCCTTGCATTGTGCCAAGTGTAAAGTTAGGTGGAGGGGGGATTATGGTGTGGGGTTGTTTTTCAGGGGTTGGGTTTGTCCCCTTAGTTCCAGTGAAGGGAACTCTTAAGGCATCAGCATACCAAGACATTTTGGACCATTTCATGCTCACAACTTTGTGTGAACAGTTTGGGGATGGCCCCTTCCTGTCCCAACATGACTGCACACCAGTGCACAAAGCAAGGTCCATAAAGACATGGATGAGCGAGTTTGGGGTGGAAGAACGTGACTGGCCTGCACAGAGTCCTGACCTCAACCCGAAAGAACACCTTTGAGATGAATTAGAGCGGAGACCGCGAACCAGACCTTCTCGTCCAACATCAGTACCTGACCTCACAAATGCGCTTCTGGAAGAATGATCAAACATTCCCGTAGGCACACTCCTAAACCTTGTGGACGCCTTCCCAGAAGAGTTGAAGCTGTTATAGCTGTCTATCTGTTAAAGCTCTGGGGTCCTAACTTTACCTGTTCCAGCCTGAACACTGGGAGAGTGCTAAAACCAGAGAGACTGCACAACAGCCAGGCAACTAGCATTTTCAGTAGGTGATCAGTGGCATCCTTGGTATTTCTCTCATGGTAGGTTTACATGAATACATTTATAATTGGCAAACTCTGAGCACAGATTATTATTATTATACAGGATTTATATAGCGCCAACAGTTTGCGCAGCACTTTACAATATAAAGAGGACATTACAATCACAATACAAATCAAGACAAGATGGTAAGGAGGGCCCTGCCCCTGGGGGCTTACAATCTAAAAGGGAGGGGCCAATGATACATGAGGAGGGAGCTGTGTGGGGATGAATTGTTTGAGAATGTGATGGTTGAGCGGTTAGGTTGAGGTGGGATAGGCTTCCCTGAAGAGATGGATTATTTGAATGTAAAAAAACATTTGAGGCTTTTTTTTTTTTATTTATTAATTCAAAACCTACTCTAATCTTCGAGGCATAATGAAAACAGAGGTATTGCCTGTATACATCTCCAGATATCGTTATTTTAATTGAGCCACGCTGTAAGATTTCATGCAAAAACAAAAAGATAAACAAATTACAAATCAATATACAAAAGTGAATAAATACAGTGCCACTAATCAGATGTAATCTTAACGTGTAATGCAATCATTAGTCCAGCAAATGCCAAAAAGTGCTTCTTTCCACTTCACAGTTGCAGACTCTTCACCAAACTGTGTGTAAAAAAAAAAACTTGCAGCGACCCCTGATGAAGTCGTATACAGACGCAACGCATGTAGGGTGGAGTTTGGAGTGTCACGAAGGAGCACTCGTCACGGAGCATACAGTGGCTGCAGGGATTTTTTGAATGCTTTCTTTTTACCATGCGAGTAGCTTTTAATAGAGAGGTTTTTTATAGAGAAACGGTCTGCACTATGAAAGTTTGTTTTTGATTGCGTGGATCCATTGTTCCCGCAACGTTGAGGTTATCGATGCACACTATTGCTCAGCTTATTTGTGGATTCAGCAGACGGGGAGGAGGCTCTAGGAAAGCAAGTGTTCCTTTGATTGGTGGATTTCTTCAGGGCTCTCCTCCACCCAGGCTAAAAGGTCTCGTTCACACCTAGGCGTATTGCATATGCGCGTCTGTCGCGCAACCGTCGCACGTTTTTTTACCGCGATTCGCGTGTTTCCGAAGGCTACTTGGCTGTATCCCAATGGAAACGCGCAACAAAACGGCCCAAAGTAGTTCATGTACCTTTGTAGCGCGTTAGGGACGGGCGGAAATACGCCAAGGTGGGAACGAGACCATTGAATACAATGGGATTTATATTTTTTTGCGTTTTGTAGAGCGTTCGTCGAGCGTAGAACGCGCTACAAAACGTTCAGGTGTGAACGAGGGCTAAGGAGAAACAACGCTTTCAGACCTGACGTTGGGTCTATTTCCTAAGGAGAGCTGCACTCCTGAGGATTTTCTTGGGTGGAGGTCACTGCATGTTTTCTATTCTGCAGTGGGTGTTCGTCGCGAGTGGACGGGACAGCGGTTGGCAGTTTTTTTTAAATTATTTCTATTTTATTTTTTGTTTTATTTTTAATTTTGTCGAATCGTCGTCGTGGACAGCGCTGGACGTCGTGATTGACCATGGATTACGTCGGTGGAAATAAAAGACTTGTCAAAAACATGTCGTTTTTTTTCCAACAAAGGATTTTTTTAAAAGTCTGGACTTTTAATAACAATTTTATTTAACCCTTTAGTGAATGGGTAGGGGTACAAGTACATGGATACAGGTGGTACACCGCGCTAGTGGTACTAACAAATAAATTCCTAAAGTGGGCAAGCTGCAGTGCTAATAAAGTGATAATAGGTGAATAATGATACACCGCTCTATTAATCCAATCTAAAAATGCAAATTAATAATCCTAAATGAATCGTGCTAATAATAAATAGAAAAAAAATCGCACTAGAACATAAACAGTGTAACCAAGTAGTGTACCAAGAGGATAATAGGTGATCTTTATAAAAATCATCTGGTCCAAAAGGATCCTTCAAGCAATTCCTTCAAGATATTAGGCAAATAAATCCAGATCTCTCA